GGGGGGGGGGGGGGGGGGGAACATTGCCCAAAGATTTCAGCCTTCTAGCTTCTCAGATCCTCGAGTTATGAACTGACCCCAAAAAAAATTTGGCGGAACCATACGCAGGTACCACGCGGGCTTTGGCGCCCATTCTGGGCATTGAGGGCGGCACGTGCATGTAGATTAAGTTCCCGAATTTCAGCCCCGCAGTTTTTATAAGTCCTGGGATGAAAGTGCGTGACAGACGCACACACGGACATGCAGACAACCTCTTGTCAATATGCGTTTTTCGCACTGCATTGCTGCAAAAAACGCATAAAAACCGAACAAAAAGGAGTGCTTTGCCCCAACAGGCACCTCTGCTCTTCAATAAAACTGGACTTTATCAGCACGAAGGTTATGGCACTGATAAAATAACGAAAATGAAATAAATTTGTATAAGGGAATGGATTATGATTTCTAAAAATAAATAGGAATTAAAATTAAACGAACAATAAAAAAGTAGAGAAGCTAGGAACAGAGACCAAGCGGATGGTGCATGAAAAGGTTGAGGAGTGGCAATTACTGGTAGCTTGTCAACAGCGGTTTTATTGCATCAGTTTACTGGGCATGATTTTTTTCGTGCATCTATAAGAGAGCATTTTTACAGGCGTTTGGCAAAATCAATAATTATTTTGAAAGGAACTTGGTTTGCGAGAGGGTATCGGGAGATTTGCCTGTTTGTATTGTGCTTGTGAAGCAAACCCTGAATGGTACCGTGATAGTACGCGCAGACTGCAAGTATCCCCAGCCTTTCTGGCCACTAACATACCCGGAAGCTCGAAGAGTGATTGCTCCGTACAGTGCGAGCCGAGAATGCGAAGAAGCTGCCATGGTCGAAAGTGATGCCAAATTGCAAGCATACAATGAATTTTGCAAACGCATCGACGACTATCAGGACTACTATAATGTAAGCTACGCTAGAAGGACATTTGCATACGGATTCGTCAGTTGTGCGGAAGAACGTCAGGAAAAGCTGTCTGCCATAGCATGCTGGTACACAAAGTTGCATCCTGAATGGTACTATGCTCAGGTTCATGTTGCTATGGGCAATTTGATGTTTGTTCAGCACTAGACTTTTTTTGAGTGTGCAGTGGCACATTTATCGCGTTCCGTAACTGTGTTGATGCTTCACATAATTGCATAATAAAGCAAGACAAAGGTTGCTTTCTGCGCAGAATCACTGAGTAGTATTTTATCAGGATGTCACCGAAAAATGCAAATACGATTCTATAATAAAAGGAAAATGCTCAGTTTGCGAGGTTTGCCTGATCTTAGGAGAATGATTTGCGATCTGGAGGGCACTTGCGATATTTTTGGCAGTTACTCGAAAAGCGACACAGTAATATTTCGGTATAACTAGAGCAGTCATGTACCCACTGATTAATTCGTTCCTGATCCCACAGCACGGCGATATATCTGGATCGGGACTTTTGTGGAAAATTAGTGTAAAGTAAAACCGAAATCTCCTGAACGTGCGTCTTACTTTGCATAGGAATTACTTTGGCTGTCCAAATTCAGGCTGCGTTCATGAGTAAAAAGCAAAAGATACGAGGGAGCGGACGAGGAAAGGGGTAAGTTGATCGTTAATTTCAGTCGATTGCTTTTTAAACCACCGAAGATTAGTAATTAGATTCTACAGACTGGAAGTTTTCACAGTTTGATGTTAAGTTGTTCAGTCTGAAAAAGTGATATGTTCGCATACATTCGACGTGATTAGACTTGTGTTTATTCAGTGATGCACAAAAAGAAAGTAATCAGCTTAGCCAGGTACTGCATTTTAGGAGAAAAGCTGACTTTTGTACGACAAATCCTCCGCATAAAAAAATATATATAAACCAAAATCAGCTCTCCTTCGG